AAATATATCTATTTCAGAATTGGTTCCACGTAAGTACATAAGTTTATTTATTTCTATTTATTAAGGTTGGATTGGATACGACCAAAATTGTTTTTAGTCAAATCCACCCTAAGCCGTGTAACTCTCTACCTACTAAATTAGAGATTATGAAACTTTAACAGAATTAAAAAAAAATAGAATTTAAGAAACGTGTCAAACGTCATAAAAATCGTCAAAAAAAAAAACCTACTTTACTTTTTCTTAAGGCGACACATCGAAAACCGTTGAAGCGGGCTATCGCCGGACTAACCCGAGTAAAACATAATTTCTATAAAAACTTCAAAAACGCCGTCATAAGGTCTAAAATTGCGTAGCACCCGCGACTATTAAAACCGCTTAGAAATCGCGAAGAATCTTAAAATATTTTTAAAAAATTATTGATTTTAGCAATCAAAATAATGAGCAAGTAAATTACGAATATTGATGTTATGAATGTATTCGAGTGGTTCCCGAGCATATAGGTTAAGTAATTTCGTTGTAATTTCAACTATAGTGATTTTTTAGAGGTGTTTTCGCAAATTATTTTCATCGAGTCAAAATTTTACAATCGTGTTTTTGAGCAAGCAAACTCAAGATAAAGACATAAATTTACCTGTATCAAAATTCCAGTTTCGTTAGTCGTGTCATACTCCTATACTATTCGATGAAAGGAGGTGCATTTTTTCGCGGTGTCGCCTTAATTAAAATACAAAGAAATTCTGAAACTTAGTAAGTATTGTAGAAACACAGTGACTAGCATACCGCGGAGCGAGGCGTATTTTTACATTTAATTTCATTTCATTCACTCATAATAGACCATGAAAATTCTACTACTGAACACAGGCCTTCCCCATAGACGTGTTTGACATAAGGGATGTCCATTAACTACGTGAGGTATTTAGGGGGGAAGGAGGTCGAACCAAATCTCACTCAATCTCACGTGGGGGAGAGTAGTGAGAGTGGATAGATCTCGAGAAATTTCACGTAATTTTTTTTCCGCAGGAAACCGTGTATAATTTCGAGAAAATTGGATTAAATAAAATAAAATATGGCTAAATCCTAAACAATAATATTTATCGCAGTTTTGTGAACTTGAAAAATCTCACATGAGATTTGGCGGGGCGTTTGGGGTCGATCTATATCTCACGACATTTCGCCAGTAGGAGAGGGAGAGTAGAAAAATCTCCTAAAATCACCTCACATAGTTAAAAAACGCTTAGAGGGCGTTTCTAAAGTCATACTAACAAGCGCGTTAGAAACCAAGGTTTTTTTAAAATATTATTTTTATAGCTCTCGTAACGGACTCATGTACTTTAGCCAGTGTCAAGTAATAAGGAAATTATGCTTTAACTTTATTTATTCCAAAACTTCTCTGTGATATGTTAATGCATCATTGCGGAGTTTTTGAGATTTCGACGACAACTTAAGCCAGTAGACCATCGGTGATTATTATAGTCAAATCTCAAGTCCTTAAGGACATAATAACTTAAATTTTATATGAACACTAGCCGTTCCTCGCGACTTCGTTCGCGTGGAATTTATTACTATTGGATTTCATGGGATTTAATTTTTTTGCGCGGAACCCTAACTCTTTTTTTAAGAGGTCTAATTACTCCTCATAACATCAGTGATTTATAAATTCTTTGACCTCAGCTACCTAGCAGAGGGAATTTCAAATACGCGCGGTATTGCCTTATCCTCTAAATTATGGGTCAACATAAATTTTTGGGTCTGAAATAGAGGTGTCCTTTAAAATGGATGTCTGGCAACCCTAGTTCTAGTGAAGAATTCCTTCTCTTTTCTTAGAACGCATATGACTCATAGACTACATCTATCCTCGATTAAAAATCAAAATGCAGATGCGTTGTCACCCGTGAGAACTAAGATGGAATGCCTCATTTCCAGTAAAAAGGGTCTCCGGTTCTCTACACTCACCATACGAAACACGGCAGCGTTAAGCTGCTATTTCACGCTGGTATTCTGTGAGAGCGTGGTCCCCCCGATTGTGCCGACCCATTCGTACTACAACGACTATATATCTCTAGTATTCTCTAGTATGGTTCTACCACGTAATAACGTGCAGGTGATTGTCATATTATCTCCCCCCCCCCAATCGTGATTTTTTTCTGACTCCTCCTCCCTCTGTGCGCACCTCACGTTATTGAAGCACAACTCCTAACAAAGGATCTTCGCGTCACGTTACATTTTTTCAAAATTTAATGGAATTTTTTTTCTTTCTATACAGCCATCCCTGGTAAGTCTACAGTTACTAATAAATGTGTTAAATAAGTGTTTGAAAATATAACTCAAGAGCCCTGATAGTTCAGAGGTTAAGAAGCACTCGCTGTGAATTTCACAGTACGCAATAGACTCAGGTTCGATCCCCGCCGGCACCAGTGAAGTTGTGAATTGTAGTTTTAAATGCTCATTTATCAAGGTCAAGGTCTGACTAATGGTTTATGAGTTATTCTTAATAATTTATATTGAAGTACCGGCTGTACAAATTTACATAATAAGGATGACACATCTGCACACAATTAAAAAGTTAAAGTTACAGCCTAGGCATGATGTGTCAATGATTTGTTCATTTAACCCGGGTCGCATTTAAGTGTTAATAACTCAAATTACATTTTGTGAACGTTCGTGATCAAGCTACTGACAGGACCTACGACCAGAGTGTAGTAATGTTCGACGACCGACATTATCGAGCGGGTCTCTCACATCACAGAGTACTGAAGCTTGAAGTGATCCATTTAAATGATCGACCCGAATGACCCGGTACGTAAGACGAATCAATACATGAATTATCGGATCACTAGAAATGTCTATTGTAGCTTATATACGGCCCACTGCTGCGCACAGGTCTCCTCTCATTTCTGAGAGGGTCTTAAGGCAAGGAATTGTTATATATATATATATATATATACTAGCTCGCCAGCCAGACGTTGTTCTGCCTTTTCCAACGACCCTTCCTATAAAAATCCTTAAATTCGCAATAAAAAATTTTGAAGGTCATTAATCGGGATAAAAACTATCCTACCCCTCAAGTTGGACCAAAATGCACACAGTGTACAAAACTTCAATGAAATCAGTTCAGTAGTTTAGGAGTCCATCGCGGACAAACAACGTGACACGTAATTTTTATATATAAAGATAAAGAAATTCTTATTTCTCAGACATGCAGGTTACCTCGCGATGTTTTCCTTAACCGCCAAGCGCGTGGTAAATCAGTTCTTAAGATCGTAATTAACAATTTCATTGGTGCCGGCTGGGATCGAACACGAGTTCCCGCGTACTGTGAGTGCTAACTTCTGAGCTGCCAAGGCTTTTACACATTTAACCTGATGATAAATGAGTGCTGTGGCCCGTAGAAATCTACATCTTTTTTCGATTAACAATTAAAATGCAGAGTCATCCCTGAGGACTAAGATGGAATGCCTCGTTTCCAGTAAAGAGGGTCTCCGGTTCTCTACACTCACTATACGAAATACAGCAGCGTTGAGCTGTTATTTTACGCTGGTATTGGTGCGTGGTAGTGGTACTGGTGTACCTTACCTGAGAAGGAGAAGGGGAGGGAGTTATAATGTCTTAAGGAGGGGCTACCATGGGGTGGCTGGCATTGGTGGGGCCGCAGATGTGTGCGAAAGGTTTCCGTGGCCCTGCCAATATGCGTCGAAGGTGGAACAGCGTTGGATTTAAATCGCTGTGAGTTGAATGTAACACGTCCTTGCTCTCGCGAGACGGGTATGTGTAGGCATTCCTCCTAGTCAAAAAACCGGCCAAGTGCGAGTCGGACTCGCGCATGAAGGGTTCCGTACCATCGTAAAAGATTTAACACTATGTAGGTAAAAACAAATTTCTAGTAAGTGAGCCCCTTTAATTTTTAATCTATTTTTATTTTTGCCAACTCTGCACTCTGTCCTCCACCTTCCGCCGTGTCGGGCTGTGCGTGACGGGTGGCGGTCCCCATCGCCGCTTTGCGCGCTGCATTCCACACCAACGGGGACGAGCTGGTGTGCGTCGCCTTGGGGGGACGCCCTCACCCTCGTTGGCACGGGTGCGCAGCTGAGTAGAATTTCAGCCCTGAAAAGGGCTGGCAGGGGTTGGGACGAGCACGCTTCTACCCCCATATGTTATGTTATTGTTATATGGCAGCGAAACCTGGGTATGCCAGAAGAAGCATAAAAGCAAGTTGAATGCAGTGGAGATGCGATCTCTTCGTAAAATGTGCGGCGTTACCATAGCCGACCGAAAGCGAAACGAAGAGATTCGCAATATGGCAGGTTTGAAAGATGATCTTATCACAAAAATTGATAAGGGCGTGCTTCGGTGGTTTGGGCACGTTGAGCGAATGAGTGAAGACCGAATGGTGAAGAAAATATATAGCGCGAAAGTTAATATTAAAAGGTGTCGAGGAAGACCGAGACTAACTTTCGAAGACCATGTGAGCAAATTGCTCGAAGAGGGTAGGGTCAAGAGTACTCGGATACCTAGACGTGCATGTATGAAGAAGATAATGAATCTGAAAGAAGCGAAAGTGGTATGTAAGGATCGTGACACTTGGCGATCTGTTCTCTCTGGCTACCCCATCAGGGATTGTGCGTGAAGATAAGTTAAGATAAGTTATTTTTATTTTTATTATTTCTTAATATATATATATATATATATATATATATATATATATATATATATATATATATATATATATATATATATATATAAAATAGAAATATACATTCTGTGAAAATTTCAACTGTCTATCTATTACGGATCATGAGATACAGCCCGCTGACAGACAGACGGACGGACAGCGGAGGCTTAGTCTATTACTATGGTCCCGTTGGTTACCCTTGGGTACGGAACCCTAAAACAGATGTCCATTTACTGCTGCAGTATTGCAGCAGCCATTTACCATCAGGTTGATTGTAAGTTTGTTCATCATCATCAAAAAAAAATTAAACAAAGATTGTTAATACTTATAGAGGACAGTTTGGAGGAGTTTGTGCCCATAACAGCTAGGAACTACACCAGCAGTCCGCGAAGGATAGTCATCCCCGACGGTTATGAGTTTACCGGCATCAAGCACGCCAACTACAAGACAGAGAAAGTAAGTAACCCACAAGACAGAGAAAGTAAGTAATAACTAGATTACAAAGGCACGTTATACTGATAACTTGGTGCCATTTTTTTTCGTTCTTGCATCACGGTGCGAAGGTCAGCGAGGAGCCGGGTCTGTTCTTTCGGCTTTGTCGCTTGTGTAGCACACGTGTGGGGTGGACCTAGGATTAGGTGGTCGTAGCCTACGGACGCGAGCGACTCATGCCCTTAACCGACGAGCATGTATGCGTAGGTATATGGATGTGGAGGAGGTCAGAGAGGTGTGTCAGGATCGTGCCAAATGGAAGTCCATAGTCTCTGCCTATCCCCCTGGGTGACAGGCGTGAGTGTTTATGTATGTATGTATGTCATACTGACTGACCTAGTTCTATTCGTATGGAATTTTTCGAAGTGAAACATTCTTCAGAAAGTAGAAGTTGCCATTCGAATATCGGAGAATCGAAAAAACTAGCACATGAAGGGTTCCGTACCATCACACACGTTTCTAGTAGGGGAGCCCCTTTTTATTATTTTATTATTTGTAGTTACAGCGGCAACAGAAATACACATTCTGTGAAAATTTCAATTTGACTCCTTTTACATTATTGACTATCTTAAAACCTTCGCATGTTAAGAGGAAGGAGGAATTTAAAAAAAATCCCTGAATAAAGTAATTTAACTCTTGTACATAGTGTTGATTATCTTGAAATCTTAAGAAGGTTAAAGGGGTGCACGCAGTAACAATGATACAACAACAATGCAATCGTAATCAGAAAAACGTTGTCTATATTCGCTGGCAGAATGTCTGGACTCAATTCATAGCGTCTCTCAACTGAGCCTTGTTATTCCGAAGGGAAATAAACGAATGCGTGTAGTGTATTTACGGAATCTCGAATTGATATGTTAGCAGTTTATATTGAAGTCGGTTGTACAAAATTTTTAATTTTATATTATATCTATAAAAACTTGAAGATTTTTTTTTTGTAAAATAGAATGAAATGTAAAATATATGGTCTTTGATGATACCTTAAACTTAAATTACGTCACATTAATAGATACGACCCAGGCAAAGCCGGAGCGGCTCACCAATCATACACGTATAATTTCAAATTATCAATTTCTTGATTTGCAGCCATGGTTACCGGTGAAGTTTTACTCTGTGCAACACTCAGGTCACACCGTGATTATCACCATGACTTTCTCCAGTTGGACACGCGGACATTACGGACCGTACTTCTGCATCTTCAACAAATTGGGCTCCGAGCGGGAGAAAGTTGTCAAATTCTTGATATTATGTAAGTTTTTTTTTATTATCTGTAATTTATCATAGTTACAGCAGGTAACTGGTAGACGACGGAATATTTGGTGTCGATGACAGTAGACCATATGGTATGACTGGTCCCTTAAGGAAGTAAAGCCCTAGTGTGATGGCTACTCGGATATACTCATGGACACTTTGGGGTGCTTAGTTTTTAGCCGGGGTGGCTTCGGAGATGACTGGACTGAAAAAATGTCGCACATAGCAATCTCTGAGATTAACAGTAATAAGCATGATAGCGACAACCTCATTCCCTGGGTATTAAAGTTAGAAAAATTTACTTCGCCTATATCCCCTTAATAAAATAAAAGGATGTGTATTACCTAGTTTGAACAGCACCTTTTTTATATAGGATAGGGTGACAAACGAGCACACAGTCAACCTATTGGTAAGTGGTTGCTGTGGCCCATAGACATCTTTATCTATCCTCGTTTGCGAATCAAAATGTAGATGCGTTGTCACCCGTGAGGACTAAGATGGAATGCCTCTTTTCCAGTAAAAAAGGGTCTCCGGTTCTCCACACTCACCATACGAAACACAGCAGCATTAAGCTGCTATTTTACGCTGGTATTCTGTGAGAGCGTGGTCCTTCCCCGGTCGAGCCGACCCACTCGTGCTACAACTATACTACTAATATAGCTGCAGCATGGCTCTACCACGTGTGTACCTCCCGCTCTCCCTCAATTGCGTGCACTATCCCCGTCACCGCTAATCCCAGCACCACTGTCACTAACTACCACTACGGTGGCTGACCGCTAAGACGGTGGTTAAACGCCAAGATTCTTAGTAATCAGCCACCGCAGGGTATACTTCACCAGAGGATGTCTCGCGTAGAAGCGAAACACGAGTCTTATTATCGACGGTGGTGTCTTTCCTATTGTAGTGGTGTTGGGAGTAGTGGTGCTGGGATTAGTGGTGACGGGGATAGTATAGGCCTAAGATGTTTTTAAAAGTATAGATACGTCATACTCGCTCTAAAATGGCAATACGAAAGTCAGGTAATTGCCCGACTCGCATTCAGTCGGGCACGCTCTCGCGTCGCGGCTATACCTTCGCTACAGCGCGTAAATCTTCTAGTTATTCCTGGCAAAATGCCTTCCTGTGTTTTTAGGTGGTGCAAAAATTACACGGCAACTATTAGAGACAAGAAAAACGTCTTATTAATATTTTGAATATAGATGTTTTGTTCATAATTATTTGATTATTTCAACACTAACCACTAGCCTAAACTTTAACGCTAGCTAGTATGTTCATTTCCATATCGGTATGTCACGCGCTCGCGCCAATGAGCGCTTGGCAGCAATCGATACGCAACTAATGATCTATATTCATCTTTTTCTAACGATAGGCATGCCCTATCATTTGTCTCTTTTTGTTAGCGCAACGTGTCATAATAAATAACTGTACGTAGATATAGTACTACCTGCGCCACTTTAAAATACAATAATGTTAGAGTGTAACCTGTCTATCTTTTTTAATACGTCTTTGGTGTAGGCGAAGTAATTTTTCCTAACATTAATATACAGTGAAATGTGATTAAGTGGGACCTGGATAAGTGAGAAACATCTATTATTAAGAGTTGCAATGAGGTCCCGGTTATTTTTCATTAAATTACCTCTGTTAATGGGACTTTTTGAATCTGGTTAAATGAGATTTGAAATCTAAGAATTTTTCGATGTTTACCTCTGTAATTGAGGCTCTGTATCTCAATTACCTGTATAACTGAGACAAGTTAATCTGGTTTTAACACGTTCTGACATGTTTGTTTACATACATTTCGCGTCGTCTTTCGCGCATGCTTTGTTTGTCAGTACGGGGGCCTCTGTAAGGCCCGCCACGTACATACGGAATTCCGTTTTGGAATCCCGAACGGGTCGGCCACACACATACGGATACCTGTTTTACCCGCAAAATTTCGAACGCAAAAACTGCCGTACGTGTGTGATGGGTCATAGATTTTATATGGACTTGTTGCGTTCCGAATTCCGAATTCGGAATATCGAAACAGAATCCCGAAACGGAATTCCGTATGTATGTGGCGGGCCTAGGGTTACCAGATGAAAAAATTAAAAGTCCGGAGAAGAGGCCTGATTTCCATTTAAAAATCCTGAGATTGTTTTACAGTTCGAGAAGAAAACCTTACTTAAAAAGGTATCTTCATATATTAAGTATGATAAAACTGTTTAAGTACCTACTTGGATAAATAAGTTTTGATTTTATTGTGGAATTATTACCAAAGGAAAATTATTTTTAGTTTGTTTAACTTTTTATTAAGAGATATTTTAAAATGTAAGCTGTATTATATTGAAAGTTCTAAAAATCCTGAGATTTCATGAGATTTGCAAAATCCAGCCGCAATCCTGAGAAGAGTCTAAAAATCCTGAAATCTCAGGACAAATCCTGAGATATGGTAACCCTAGGCGAGCCTAAATGAGACAACTATAATTTAAACCTGCTTAATTGGAAAACTAGAGTAACGTCTGATTATATTAATTATGATTCCCAGGAGTTATTATCAATCATGCGCTCTTCAGGAGTATAATAACCTTTACCAAACAATTTTTGCTTACTAAATATTTTAAACCTTTTGATAGAAAAGGGACTGTTCATAAAATACGTTCGCACCTAAGGAGGAGGAAGGGGTGTCGCTTACTGTGACAAGATGTGACATGGGGGGTCGGGGGTCTAAGAAAACGTGACGTTCGCACCTTATAAAACAACTAGCTGTGCCCCGCGGTTTCATCCGCGTATATCACGATTCTACCCCATGCGACATACGAATTTCGAGAGAGACATCAAGACGGACGGTTGCTGAATTAACAAAGATTTAAAAAGTGAAATATGTTACTAAAATTACATGGTTAACGTAATTGGTGGTTATGCATGATACAGGTTATACGAATAATGTGGCCTAGTTTGTACCGGCGTTACTATTTCATATTTTAACTTGAAGAAGTAGTTATTGTGACATAACTGTAAAAGTTAAACATATGGTATCGCAGACTTTTTTGTAGATATTGATATTCTCTACAAAACTGAACTACATCACTTTGCTCTATTGTCAATAGTTTCCGCAGCGTACGCGATATAAGGATTCTTTTTGGTATTTTTTTCACACTTTGGGTTACATTAACGAAGTTTTCATACGGATCCCTAACTTTTTGAAAATATTATATAGCCTATGTTCATGAGGGATAATGTAGGATTCTAATGGTGAAAAAATTTTTCAATTCGGTCCAGTAGTTTCGGAGCCTATTCAATTCAAACAAACAATTATATAATATATAATATAATATAAAATATAACGTATTATATTAGTGTAGATATAGTGTAGAAGTGTAGATGTAGATTTTGCAAATTTTCTCTCGTTTTTTTTTTGAAATTTAGTTTTCTATAATATAAAAATGAATCGCTGAATGTGTTGCTAATCGCAAATCTCGAGAGCAGCTGAACCGATTTCGCTAACTCTTTTTTAGGGTTCCGTACCTCAAAAGGATAAAAGCGGAACCCTTATAGGATCACTTTGTTGTCCGTCTGTCTGTCTGTCAAGACCCTTTTTCTTAGGAACGCGTGGAGGTATCAAACTGAAATTCATATCAAATACTCAAGTCTACTGTCCCTTGGACCTGTGAAACTTCTAAACCAACGTAATCAAAAGATCCAGCCGTTTATGTCGCAAATTTTCGACATTTGCAAGGGAATCAAAACCTACAGGGTACTTTCCGTGAACTCAGAATCTTAAAATTTGGTACGAAACAACGTATAAAGAAAAAATTACACAGATAAAGGAAAAATAGCGAAAAGCATAAATTTTTAGTTACATCATATAACAAAAATATTTTTAATAATTTTAAAGTTATATACCTATGGATTTGTTCGGAACCCTCGGTGCGTGAGTCCAACTCGCTCTTGGCCGGTTTTTTTATAATATTCCTTGAAGTACGAAGATGGTTCATACGGCAAGAAAAATTTAAAAAATTGTCTGAAAAACTAAAAAACACTTCTCTATATTCCCATACAAAAGATTCGTAATAATACTTAAAAGTCAATTTGAACTTTAATACCATACCATAAAGTTTAAGTGTTAGTGGAGGGGTTCCGGGAAGGCAAAACAATTAAGTGACGTTAGTATCGTATAAATATTAATGTCAATATTTATACACACTGGCAGATAGCTGATGTTATAAGGAGGAACTTGGGCTGCTTTTATTTTAAGGTTCCACGAAAAATAACTCCACGCGGGCGAAGTCGCGGGGAACACCTAGTTGTTAATATACAAAGAAATATTTATTTGTTCGTTATTACAGATTTTCATTTATTAAATTTTTATTATTGCAAGCAATAAATATTTATAAATATTGAAATTTGTGTACTGTTATTAATTGCCATATATCATGTACAGGCGGGGGGGGGGGGGGGGGGGGGGTTGTCATTTGTGACGTAATATTGATAGGGGGCGTGGAGGTCTAAAAAGGTAAAAATTTGCGTGAAGTATTTTATGAACGGCCCATAAGGTCTGCACATTTGTATAATGAATGCTCTTCCATCTGCTTCTCCTTCAGCTCAAACCAGCACGGTTGTAGCGCGGAAGGCCGTGGAGCTGCTCCCAGGACAACACGTGAACAAGACCAAATTACCAATCGAGTGCAACCGATGTCGCGTCATTGGCGTTATAGTGAGGGCCTCGGACGGCAACGTATACAATATGGACAGGTCGAAGTACACGGTCAACGACCGGCCAGTTACGAGCAGGTTGGCAAAATTTATAGCTTTCAGTTTTATTATAATTTTCACTTTGTTACCTTTACAACCTATTAAAGTAACACTGATGAACATAGACTTTAAAGGTGGTAGAGCAACGCTGCAGCTACATTATGGTTGTAGCACGAATAAGTCGGCTCATAAACATGGTAATAAATCACTAATAACCGGCCAAGTGCGAGTCGGACTCGCGCATGAAGGATTCTCTAAGTCGAACCCGTAAGGGTTACGAATATGAGGAATCCCTCAGATTAATTGATGCATTATAGTTACAGTTAAGTGATGCTAATGAGCAGATTGTGCAATAAAAAATACATAGATAACTTCAAAGGGTCCCAAGCTCAAAGTCTGTTCAATGAGCTCAAGGAATGTGAATCTTCTAAAGAATTGCAACCCTCCACAACAATCTATTTGACTGACAATGATTATGTCACGCCAAGAACAGCAGCAAAGATATATCTGCAGTAGAAGAAAATTAAAGAAATACATAAAAATTAATTAATATATTCATCATCATTACAGCCCTTCACAAGTCCACTGCTGAACATAGGCCTCCCCCAAGGAATGCCACAAAGCACGGTCCTGAGCCACCTGCATCCATCGACTTCCTGCATGTCTTACCAGGTCGTCACTCCATCTAGTGGGGGGACGCCCTACACTTCGTCCGCCAGTACGAGGCCGCCACTCGAGAACCTTTTTTCCCTATCGGTTGACGGTTATCCGAGCTATATGGCCAGCCCATTGCCACTTCAGCTTACTAATCCATTGGGCTATGTCGGTCACTCTGGTTCTACTGCGGATATCCTCATTTCTAAGTATATCACGTAGAGATACTCCGAGCATAGCTCTCTCCATAGCTCGGTGAGCGACTTTGAGCTTCTTCATCCGGCCAGCAGTGAAGGAACACGTCTCAGTTCCATAGGTCATCACTGGCAACACGCACTGGTTGTACAGTCTCGTTTTCAAGTTTTGAGGTATATCTGACGAGAAGATGTGTCGTAAGTTCCCGAACGCTGCCCAACCGAGTTGAATCCGTCGATTGACCTCTCGGTCGAAGTTGGACTTACCTAGTCGGACTATTTGTCCCAGGTAAACATACTCGTCAACAACTTCGCGCTTAGTGCTCCCAAGTGTTCTAGTGTGACATGGACGTTATACATGATCTTTGTTTTGGCCATGTTCATCTTAAGACCTATTCGTTGGGAGGCACTATTTAGGTCATTGAGGATAGTGCTTAGGTCCTCCAGCGATTCTGCTATAAGAACCACATCGTCGGCAAATCGAAGATGAATGATGTACTCGCCGTTGATGTTAATACCGTATCCTTTCCAGTCCAGAAGCTTGAAAACGTCTTCCAATGCAGCGGTGAAGAGTTTCGGGGATATTACGTCACCCTGTCTTACACCTTTCTGCAGTTGTATAGGTTCTCTGGTTCTGTACTCGAATAGCCATTATAGCCCTACTGCACAAACACTTCAGCACTTCGATATACCGACAGTCAACTTGGCACCGGTGAAGGAACTGCAGCACCACCCAAATTTCGACGGAATCAAAGGCTTTCTCACAGTCCACATACGCCAGTTATAGTGACAAATTGTACTCCTCGGACTTCTGTATAATTTGCCGTAAAGTATGTATGTGGTCTATAGTGCTAAAGCCTTTTTGGAAACCATCTTTTTCGGGAGGCTGGAAGTCGTCAAGTCTGCATGCGAGACAATTCGTAATGACTCTCGAAAACAGCACGAAGGCGCAGCTCAGAAGGGAAATCGGTCTGTAGTTCTTCAAGGGAGCGTTGTCGCCTTTCTTGAAGAACAAGACCACCACACTTCTGCTCCACGCCTCCGGTGTAGTGCCACCATGGAGGACGGAATTAAAGAGCTACTGAAAGACTTCAAGTATCGATTTTCCACCCGCTTTCAGAAGCTCCGCTGTAATTCCATCCTCGCCTGGGGCCCTGCCATTTTTAAGGTCCTGGAGAGCCATGCTAATCTCGCTCAGACTGACGTACGGAATATTTTTTTTATAGAATAGGGGGCAAACGAGCATGCGGCTCACCTGATGGTAAGTGACTACCGCCGCCCATGAACAACCGCAACACCAGGGGAATTGCAGATGCGTTGCCGGCCTTTTAGAAAGGCGTAAGCTCTTTTCTTGAAGGTTCCTAAGTCGTATCGGTTCGGAAAATTCGCTGGTGGTAATTGATTCCACAAAGAAGTTGTGCGAGGGAGAAAACTTCTTCTAAATCGCACAGTGGTGGACCGCCAATCATCCAGATGATATGGATGGTAACGCGAGTTTTGTCGCGACGTGCGATGGTGAAATTGAGCGGCTGGAATTAGTCCGAACAATTCCTCAGAGCACTCCCCGTGATAGATGCGATAAAATACGGAAAGAGATGCAACATCTCTACGCAGTGCCAGTGTATCGAGCCGATCGGAAAGAACTCGGTCGTCGACCATTCGAATCGCTCTGCGCTGGATGCGGTCAAGTGGAAGGAGCTGGCACTGGGGTGCCCCGGCCCAGAGATGAGAACAGTATTCCATGTGGGGCCGAACTTGCGCTTTGTAAAGTTGCAAGCGATGTGCCGGCATGAAATACTGTTTCGCTCTGCTGAGAACGCCAAGCTTTTTAGAGGCCAATTTGGCCTTCTCTTCCAAGTGACCACAAAACTGCACGCTATTTGATATGGCGACGCCAAGGATTCCGATACTGGCTGAGGCAGCAAGGGGAGTGCCTTGAAACTGAGGAGATACGACAAAGGGGTTCTTTTTAGCGGTAAACGCGCAAACTTGTGTCTTCTGGGGATTGAACTGGACTAGATTTAGTCGGCCCCAATCCGAGACTTTGTTAAGCAAAGACTCGACTTCAGACACAAGTTTGTCCCGGTACTCGGCGACGTTTTCCCGAGAAATATTGGCACGGCCGGTATATAAGGCATCCCCAGTGCTGTCGTCTGCATAGCAATGAATGCTACCAGTTAGCAACATATCATTGATATGCAGGAGAAACAGCGTTGGTGATAGCACGGAGCCTTGTGGAACACCAGCGTTGATAGGCTTGCAATCAGAGCATGCACCGTCTACTACGACCTTGATGCTCCGATCAGCAAGGAAACTGGTGATCCATTTGCACAATTTCTCGGGAAGCCCATAGGAAGGAAGCTTCGAAAGAAGCGCCTTGTGCCGGACCCGATCGAAGGCCTTCGCTATGTCCAAACTAACGGCCAATGCCTCCCCCTTGGACTCTACTGCCTCCGCCCATCTATGAGTTAAGTAAACTAGAAGATCACCTGCTGATCGACCCCGACGAAAACCGTACTGACGGTTACTGATCAGCTGGTGATCCTCAAGGTACCTCATGAGCTGGCAGTTTATAATGGATTCCATTATTTTGGAGAACAAGGAGGTGATGGCGATAGGCCTGTAGTTGGACGGGTTTGAGCGGTCGCCTTTTTTAGGGATCGGGTGGACCAAAGCTGTCTTCCATGAATTCGGGACTACGCCTTGGGAGTAGGAGTACCGGAAAAGACGCGTTAAAACCGGTGCCAACTCCGGAGCACACGTCTTTAGCACAATGGGAGGGACTTCATCGGGCCCACTCGACTTGCTGACGTCCAGGGCGAAGAGTGCTTTGCGAACCGAGCGCTGTGTAAATCGCACATCCGGCATGGAGCACTCACATCGCGGGATGGTCGGCGGTGTGTTCCCCCAGTCATCTAGAGTCGAGTTAGACGCAAAAAAAGAGCACAACAGATCGGCTTTCTCTTTTGCGGCATGGGTCAGTGAGTCGTCCTCTCTGTGCAGAGATGGAAGGGATGGCTAACAGAAGTTCCCTTGGACAGCCTTGGCGAGAGACCAGAATGCACGGGTTCCCGAAGGAAGGCGAACTAGCTTCTCGCCAATTCTGCCGATGTGCTCAGACCTTGCCTTGGCAATGACGCTTTTGAAGGACCTGGAGGCGGAATTATACTTCTTTTTTAAGTGCGCTGGTGTTTAAATCCCGAGACGTTGATGCGTCAGCCCAGGCCCGGTAGCAGTCCTGCTTATAGCGTGATGCTATTTTACAGGAGCGACCAAACCATGGCTGGGATCTGCCTCCGATGGGCACCACAGAGGATGGAATAAAAAGTTCCATACCCTGAAGTACCACATCAGCAACAGAATCGGCAACAACGCTGGGATCTTCCGGCGAGAAGCAAACCCGCCCCCAAGGGTAGGATGCAAAAAAAGACCGCATCCCGTCCCAATCAGCTGACCTATAGTGCCAAACACGGCGGCAAGCTGCAGATCGCAATTGCGATTGGAGCGTGAGTGGCACCGTGCTCCGGATCAGACAATGGTCCGAAGAGCCCAGAGGGGCATCGACGGAGACCTGATATCCGTCCGGATGAGAGGTCAGCAGAAGGTCCAACAGGGAAGGTACATGGTCTTCCACATCTGGGATCCGCGTAGGCGAAGTAACCAGTTGTGTTAGACCATATGCCAAAGCAAAGTCGTAGACAGATCTACCCGCATGATCGGTTAAACGAGAACCAAGCCATTCAGCGTGGTGGGCGTTGAAATCACTGAGTATCACGATCTCTGCGGATGGGACCTGTTGTAGCACGGAGTCTGCAGCCATTTGGACGTGGTCGATGAGTCGGTCTGTGTCGATATTACCGCTATGGGACCTATAGAGGCACCCGTAGACGCGGGGATGGTCGTCGCTGTCTACGCGCAGCCATAGGATGGACAGGTCCGTACCTTCAAGGCTGCCGAGGCATCGAAAACAGATGTCCTCTCTGACGTATACACAAACTCCAGCCCGGGGCACAAAGGAGTGTTTTAATTTGTATCCCGGGTAGGAGAGATATGAAGTATCAGCCGGAGAGGACACCTGAGTCTCGGTTAAAAAGAGCAAGGCCGGCTTCGCCGTCTCTAGATGGTAATGGACAGCGTTAAGGTGGGAATGAAGTCCCCTGATGTTGCAAAAATTCACGGATAGCGTGACAGGGGTCGCCTTGGTTGTATTGCTCCGCTTGCCCCGAGCAGCATTAG